CGAAAAATTTAATTTGAGATTTAATGTTCCCAAGAAGGACACATGCCAGGTATGTGATTCATTTAAAATAAAACTACAAAATGAAACGGATGATCATAAAAAGCAACTTTTACAAATTGAACTCGACACTCATCAGGATTTGGCCCAAAAATCACGAGAAACATTAAAGGCAGATTTAAAACGAGCTAAAGATGAGGATAATGTAGAGTGTTTAACATACGATCTTCAAAAAACTCTACCTTTACCCAAAATTCCAACCAATGTAATATATTATAAGAGGCAAGTTTGCTTGTATAATCTCGGTGTATTTTCAGGCAAACGTAATAAGAGTTATTCCTATGTATGGCTTGAAGGAACTGCTGGAAGAGGAGCTCAGGAGGTTGGTTCCTGTATTGTAAAATATTTAGAAAACATAGAAAGTACTGTTGAACATCTTATATTGTGGTCTGATTCTTGTGGAGGCCAGAACCGTAATATTAAAATAACACTCCTCATGGCCAGTCTTCTTCAAACCAGCCATAATATAAAAACTATAACATTTAAATTCCTGATTTCCGGCCATAGTTTTCTACCAAATGATAAAGATTTTGGGGATATAGAATGTCAACTCAAACGTCAAGAACGAATATATACACCTTTAGACTATATAAATATAATAAATTCATGTCGTAAAAAGTCTCCAATAACAGCTGCACAAATGAAAAAGGAATGGTTTTTGAGTACCCACCAGCTCGAGAAGGCCACAATAAACAGAAAAGTTGGCACCAATAAAGAAAAAATAAATTGGTTGGAGACAAAAACAAATTATATTAACAAAAGAAAATCCTTACCACATCTTTATGAAACCTAGTTATTTTGGCGATGAAAGTGTATGTTTGGATATTGAGCGACGAGGACGATTAAATACAGAGAGCTTTTCGGCGCTGCTTATGCAACTCTGGCCCAATGGTAAACCCCTGTCAGAGGATAAAATTAACGATATTAAAAGCTATTTACATCTAATTCCTTCAGACGCTAAACCGTTTTATGAAAATTTTACAAGTGCTAATGTAGTCGAAGACGTTGATGGATTTAATGTTCCAGTTCTAGATTTTGAGGTAGATACCCACAATAATTAAAACTTTTTTTAAATTTACATTTACATAAGAAAATCATTGTAATTTTGTTTCTTTGGATCATTAAAATTTTTATAAAAATATGACATTATTTATTTATCTGAAAGATTCCAACCCACATAAGTATGTTTTATCGAAATTTTTTTCGGATTTTTGTTTTTTGTTAAAAACGTCCAACCTAAAATTTTCAAAATAACTTCATTGAAACTTACATTTAAAAGAAATTACAAACGAGGTGCCTACGAGATGAATATCATTATCTTAAAATCATTGCCAGGCGAATAAATTATGCATAGTTTAGCTAGGGCACACTAAAATCTTTTAAACTCAATTTCCCAACAATCACTTTTTTTGGGTTGGACGTTTTCTGCTTAACTACGTCCATATACAGAAATCGAATATCAGTTCAAGGTTAGTTTTCTCGTAGATCTTAACTAAGCAGGAAAGCTCTTGATCTTGACTATTGAATGAACGTTCGTTCATGTGGTTGTTGCGTGTGGTAAAAGTATTCGTGAATGTGGATAGTACTACTACATTTTTTTAAATGATTTCTTAATACTCTTAATTTTAACTTCGAAAATTATTTTACTAAAACCAGTTGTCTTGATCCTTGGATCAATACTTATTGTTTTTGCCATTATACCTTCATTCGTTCGATATCATAACCAATTGTGTGCAGTAATAAAGGAAACAACTGCTTGTGTAATGACGTGTTTATCAACTTAATACCACCAATTGTGGTAAATGAACGGAAATTATTTTATATAGACTTATCACATTTTCTGTTGTTTACATTTGGTTATAAATTATAAAAGAAAACACAACTTTATAGATTAAATTGTCAAGTTTTTTCGACAGAATAATCATTACAATTAAAAACTACTGTTTTAAAAATATTCTGCAATAATTATTCTGTTCTGAACTGTTTTTGGACAGTGTGAGCACTTGCATTGTCCTGATGTAGGATGATTCTCCATTGTTTGTTGCTTTGTCAGAGTTTATCGATAACTTGGTGGCAAAAAAAGGTTATATACCAATCAGAAGTAAGCGTTCTTCGATCTTCTAAAGCAATTTATTGCAACATGACCAGATTTTGGCACATAAGTTGCGACCATTTTCTTTGACACATTTCGAGAACGGATCACTTTTCTTAGGTTTTCCACATCGTGAAACACCCACACAGCGGATTGGAGTTTATTTTCCGGTCGTAGGAGTAAATCAAAAGATTCATTGCCGCTAACAATACTTTGGAGTTTCCCTGTTGAACCATTTCAAAGTTTTTTGACACCAATTGACGCGAACTGCTTTTTGCTCTTCTGTGACCAAATGAGGGATCCAACGGGAAAACAACTTCGTAACACTCAGTTCTTCATGAAGGATCTTTTGGATCGAAGTGTTTGAAATGCCCAAAGATGCCTCTTCTTCTTCTTTAAGTGCCGTCTCCTTTAAGAAGGTTGGCTATCATCACGGCTATCTTCACCTTTGACACTGCTGCTCTAAACAGCTCAACAGAGTTACAATTGTACCACTGCCTCAAATTGTTTAGCCAGGATACACGTCGTCGGCCTATGCTTCTTCTGCCCAGTATCTTTCCCTGTATAATGATCTGCAGCAACTCATATCTCTCACCTCTCATGACATGACCTAGATACTGCAATTTTCTTATTTTAATTGTATTTAATATCTCCTTTTCCTTGTTCATTCTTTTTAAAACGTCGTTGTTCGTAACCTTATCGATCCAACTTATTTTTAAAATTCTTCTATAAGCCCACATCTCAAACGCTTCTATTCTGTTACTTATATCTTTTTTAAGCGTCCAAGCCTCCATTCCATATAATAACACAGAAAATACATAACATCTAAGCATTCGTACTTTAAGTTGCAGACTCAGATCATTGCTGCAAAGTACTTTTCTCATAGTATTGAATGTTGATCGGGCTTTTCCTATACGTGATTTGATTTCCTGTGTGTAATCGTTGTTTTCGGTTATGATTGTTCCCAAGTATGTATATCTGTTCACCTTTTGAACGAGTTCGTCCCTAATCCATAACGTGTCCTGTTGTTGTGTCTTTGCGATGGTCATGAATTTCGTCTTTTTGATATTTAAAGTAAGTCCAGCCTCTTCGCTACTGTCTACAATCTTATTTATCAGAACCTGCAATTCTTCAACTGACTCTGCGATTACTAAAGTATCATCGGCGTATCTGATGTTATTTATAAGTTCTCCGTTGACTTTAATTCCACTTGATGTTTCCTTTATTGCCTTCTGAACTACCTCTTCTGAATAGAGGTTAAAAAGCAGCGGAGACAATATGCATCCCTGCCTTACCCCTCGTTGTATTTCTATTTCTTCTCTCTATCTTACGGTATATTACATGGAGCTTATCCTTAATTAGCTGACGAACTGACCTGGCTTGGATTCGTTGCTGAGACTGGAGCGACCACGTTTAAATTCGCAATACCAACGGGAATTAGTTGACTGGTGTGATGCTTCATTCCCAAACACAGAAACCATTTCAGCGAGACATTGCTGTTGGGATAATCCTATCCGAAAATTGTAAAAATTATTAAGTACTCGAAATTGTTTTCGGCTAAGATCCATTTTTCGACCGACTTGCTAATTTTAAAAATTCACTGTATCTACACGACTTTTATCGCAATTTATGTCTCGATTTATGTCAACAAAAGATTAAGGTTACATTTGTGTCGGAAGGTTTTATCGGTGGCGCCCTCTAAGCGACTATATGCAAAACTAACAAGACAAACTTCGTATATTCCATAGAATATATTCCATTGTATCCCAGATTAACGAAGGCAATTTCTATTTTTTGTTCACAACCAAATAGAAATGGAGTGATGCCTTCTCCTTGTCTACTTGATCTCTATATTTTTATTCTTACTACTGTAGTATTCTGTTGTAAGTTGGTGCGGAAGAAAAAAATATTCAATTTTTTGTTAATATACCGAATATCATACGAATCCATTAAATATAATTAATTATTGCTTCCAGTTATTAATATATCAAGGTTTTGGATCAATGACCGTGTCAAAGGTTTCGTTCTAATTTATTAGTGTTTATACAATTTCGATAATTTGCGTGTACCGTAAAACAGAGTAATCAAATATATCCATTATCACGAGGAAAATAAAAATTGGTCTATAATGCAAAGTAATAACGCAAATTCTGCAATTAACCTAATAATCCGGGAAAATAAGCAAAATTTAACCGTGTTGAGGTCTCCCCAATAGTCTAGAATAAAAAATGTGCTACTATAGTATGCGGCCTACCTCGAGAAATGCAAGAAAACTTTTGTAGAAAAAATATTTATTCACAAGTAATAAACATTTGGAGCCAACCAAAGACTTAATTAACCCGTAACCCGATCCGATTTTAGGAACATAACCGGTGACGTGGAGTGTCCGGGACTCATCATAAATATGCTGGTCTCATTCAAATTTAAATAATTATTTTATCACATTGTTTATAATAATCTGTTCTTTAGGCATTTTTGCAATATCCTATTGCCTTTTTAGTTCTTTCTGTTACTGACTATTCTTATTATCATTTTTGTCAAAAGTTGCAAATAAATAAAGTACGGTGTTACGTCGGAAAACTTAAAATTCCTTCTGCAAAAATACGTCTACAAATTTAAATTAATTCATATACCTACAGAATGTTCCAACTTGGATCAATGATATAACTTTTCTATTTTGAATTTATTAATAAAATTTTAGAGACATATTTCTATCATGTTTTTAAGAAATTCCTCAAGAATTTTCAATTTTCTAACTAACTGCAATGTGGTTAATAAAATTTACTAACTCTACTCCACATTTTGTAATATTTAGATTAAAAAAATATTTAACCATGGTTTTAATTTGTAGGTCATGTGTCACCCCCCATGGCAGGAGCAACTCCATACCCACCACAGCCTTACCAACAAGCCGCACACGACTACAGTGCCAACCCACCACCGTACGACGTAGCAGTATCTCAACCACCTCTCCAACCTCCTCCTTCAAAGGAAGGCTATGTCAAGCAGTCCCCTTACAACCCAGGGTATAATTAGGTTCTTCCCATCCAACTGTTAACTGTTGTGGTTTTTCTTACATTTCGTTACTTAAAGAAGTTAGCAGAACTTGTTTTTGTTTATAATTAAAGTGTGTTTAATGTTATTGAAGTAGAAGAGGTTTTAAGTCTAACAGTGATAAACGAGGACGGTGATTAAATGCCTGTGAATACAAAATTTCTGAATAAGAAACAGTGTATGCTTCTACTAAAATGTACAAAGGTGTCTTTCAATACTTTAGGATGGAATTTATATCAAAGTGTTCTTCAATGGCTCCTTCTTAAGTATTTCTGAATCCATTTAAATAAAGGAATCAATGTTTATTTTGGACTAATTTTTATTTGGGGTTGTGGATAAATTACAAACTTTTAAACAAATCACTGACAGAGTAAAGAATACTCATTAAAAATACAGTTTAATCTCACCAATCAAGTGTTCTGCCAGATGTTTCCAGATTTTTAATAAAAACGTTTATCATTTAATTCATTTCAACAAAATTTGACTCTTTTTTTCTACCACTTTCCAAAATCTCAATTATTGTTTTAGCATATATATACACAAATGAATAATTTTCATTTATATTTATACCCTTTGCAACTTTTTTGTGAATAATTATCATAGTTATTGGTTACTAATAGGTATTGATAATTAATCTTTCTTATCATGTCAACTTATCATTTAAAAGTATTATTACGAATAATAATTTAAACAACAAACAAAAATAGATTCCGTACATTTTAAACCGTAGGTCTATATAGCCTCTACAGACAATTAAAAAATATATCTAACATTTAAGTGAAAAAACATATTTTTAAGATCTTGTATCTACTTGAAATCCCCAGAAATCAGTTCTAAACATTTGTTACAATACAGGTTGTTCGAACCTATTGGACACGATAGAGCAGTGGACAGAGTAGCGTTCGAATCTGATTAGGTACGGGAATTTTCCTGCACCAATTTGGGATGCCACATACCTTAACAGGTCGTGGTATAATGGCTCAAATTAAACCATGCCGTAAGATTCCTCAACCAGAAAATACGTATGTGTATGCTTTTCCCTCTGCTAATTCTAACTTGCGTAATGATCCCTACTTAAATTTTTCTTCTCTAGTTATTGTGTGTTGTCAACCACTCTTTCTTCCTACCTCTGCTGCCCCGTTCTTCCTTCTCAATACCTGCTAGAACTGCATCTAGCTCACCCACTCTTCCTTCTCTTTTATCGAAAGCACCTTTCTCACATAAATGTGTATTTTGTTCGACCATCGCTCATCCATCGCCATATTCTAGCTCATTCCTTTCTCTTACCCATCTGACACAGTCCAAAAGGGTATTGACGCGGTGTCTGAAACCCCACAAATGCCCGATTCGGTCTTTTTGAACCTGTGCAAGTAGCTACGAAAGCTCCCGTGTCCTATGATCACCTGCATCAGATATTACCTGTGCCCGCAGTCTAGCCAGCTCCGCAGATTCGGTATCAGAGACTTCGTCCACTGTGCCACATCCCTTGTTGCATTCCACTCGTCCTGTTACATTCCAGTGTATGTGGCCTCTTCCTTGCTTCTAACGTTCTCCGTTTGTATCACCATATTTCTGCTCTGAAATATCCTTTACCCAATGGGCAGCAGCAGCACAGTCCTGTAAGCACTTGCTACCCGCAGCAGACCAGTTTTGTCAGCAAAACTTCATGTAGAACCCTCTTCCTTTCGGACTTGGGTTCTCTTATATTGGGTATTACCCTTCTCAAGCGCAGTTGCTCTTTCTGCCACCTTACGGCTCACTTCCCGGACCCATTCTTATGCAAGACCTCCCCAAGTACTTGACGTAGTTTTTAAGACTGATTTGCACGAACAAACACCATTCCATCTTTCTTTTTCGGGTCTTTAAGGTCCGCCACCTACGTCTCCTCCGCCGCGAGGCTCAAAGCATGGTTATTCATCCAGTCCTAAATCAGGATATTTGTACACCATATCTGGAACAGTAGTTCGCAATCCATGACCTAGGTTTCACCGTACCGGGTCAAGGACGGACTACTGGGACACCCCAACTGCAACATTTGTAATCACGCCCCCCTTCCAACCATGACGACATCTGAAAGAATCCATCTAAGTACAAGTTGACAAGATGTCTGCCAAATTTTTATTTTCATTGTAAAATTTATAAATTATAACGAAGACTTGCCACTCAATACAAATGATTGTGATATCATTTGTGTTAAACCGACAGATCCACAGGTGTACTCCAGAAAGTTTCATATAAAACTCAATGGTTAACACTCATAAATTAAAGTTATTTTCAACAGACCATTACCTTTACTTTTGATATCCACCACAAACGCCTTCCGCTACAGTTAATCAACATGTGCACTGAAATCAAGTTCAGACAACCACCATAACGGATGAAACATTTGGTTGGGTTGCATACTCTCTTGAAACAAAATATTCATGTTCTATCAAAGTCACCTCATAGAATCAAAGTCACCCCATTCTACGGTACATAATTGTAATAAAAAATCTGTTCCGTTTAGCTATATTTAACTCTGTAGACATTGTTGAACTAGTATACTAGCGCCTACAAGGAGATCAGAGGTAAAGAAGCTTACAATGAAGCCAAAAAGTCTAATGTAATTGATATATTATTAAAATTACTAAAATTACCAATTGCAAGAGGATTACAATTTTCAAAAGTTTTTCTGTGCTGTAAAACTATCATCAGTGAAACCTAAAAGTAAGTAATCCCACTATAGGATCATGAACAAAAGGGGTATTTGCAAAAAAGCCATGTACAAAACGGTATAAAAACATTTAAATTTGCATTTTAAAAGTTGTAAAAATTAAAATAAGAACGGCATAATGCCGATGATTTAGGATTGAGCCAAAAGGGGGCATTTTTTTATACTATGGTATACCCTGAGAATTATTCGGTTATAAATTAAATCACAGGTATTTAAAAAAAGCAGTTATTAACTTATAAAAGTGATAAAATTATTTATATTTTTGAAAGTATTAAGATATACTCGTATTTCAGTAACACTAAACAATTTATAATGATATAAATGTTGATATTTTCAAGATTAGAAACGTCGTTGTATTAAGTATAGGCCATTAAATATATAAATGACTTAAATTATATTTTATAAACTTCAAGGAACTAATAATGTCCTACGAATATGTACTTTTCGAATCTTGAAAACTTACTTTAATCGTATAAATAGGTTTTGATACTCGTTTCTATTAATGTCATTAAAATAGATAGTCTTGCAACAATTTGTCGATCAGTTACGATTCTTATTGTTTTTATTTTAAAGAGATTATGTGATAAGGGAACTTTTATGCTGTATTCTCTGATAGGATGAGACTTTGTATATACTAGTGTTTATATAAAACATAATCATGTATAAATATAATCTCAAATGAATAATACTGCGCATCTAAATGATATCGATTAAAAACGTATACAACTACTAACTTATACCGTTGTTCTCGAAATTGAATCTCGATTTAAAACATACAACTCTTGTACATTGTATTTATCGTATATTGTACAGGCTTTAGCTTTAGTAGCCTAGTGATTGGTATAGTCGAATTCACCGATGTTATGAAAATCATTTCATTGTCTTTGGATCTTTTAAAATTCTTTTAACTGATTTTATTGTTTTTCTATAAACTCTTATCATGTTGTTAATAATTGTCATCTCTTAAAAGTTAATGTATAGCAAAAAAGCCTTATATAAATTTATTGTCTCATTCTGTAGGACAGTACTGCATAAATTATTGTTTTTCTTTATTTTTAAGACTGTATAAAAGCTCAGACTTTGGTTTAAACCTTATTAAATATATGAACAAGTTCCATTTTCTATTTTACGTATACCCAATGAATGACGATTACCTGCAAACGAATAACTACGAATATAGTATGTTTCTGCTAAATAGGGGAGATTATTTGTAATTGTATAAGTATTCAGATCATACATAATATGTTTTCTATAAATTGAAAGTATGGTATTTAAACACACATGTGATGGTAATGATGTGGACCTAGTTCTCCAGAAGGTTCTTAAGTTACATCTGATAATAAACGTGCAAGCCTCAAAAACATCGGGAAAAAAGAGCTGTCGAAATGACCTTTGAAATTGAAAAGTACAGTGTTTGTCATCCATTCATCGTCTTATAAACTCAACGGGTTGACTGGTTTACTTCAATGTGTGTACTATAGGGGGCGTTCAAGTATTATGTAACGCAATTTTCGAAGATTTATGACTCCCTTCCTATGTAACGTTTTTCTGTACCCACCCAACGCCTATCTAAACAAATGACCACTTTTGGTATGACCAACATTCGTTAATCTCCCATACGACTGCTTCCAAAATAAATGTTCTATATGCAGATCTCTACAATCAATGCATTTGGTTCTTAATATGTTTAAAAGCCTTCCAGACTTTCCTCTATCGAAAGCCTTTTCGTAATTGATGAAAACCACATAAATATATTTACGTTGGTCGCGGCATCACGGGTATCCAAAGCGCATTTCTAAATCCAAACTGGGTTTCATCTAGGTCTTTTTCGAGATAAATAATGTGAAGAAAAAAATTTTCAATGTGTGGCTCATCAGACTAATTAATTTGTATTCGTTTGTCCACTCTTCAGGTATTTCACCAGTAGTATCTTCTTCTTGATGTGCCTATACGTTACGAATGTTGGCGATCATCATGGCAATATTTATCTTATCTGCAACATCGCCGAAAAGCTGCACAAATGTTGTAGTGAACCAGATTCTGAGGTTGTTTAACCAAGATGTTCTTCTTCCTGGACCTCGTCTTTTATTTCTTCCGTCATCCATTGAATCTATTAGTAGTTACACTATGTTCTATGGAAGAAGGTGGTAAATATGTAAAAAAATCAATTGGAGTGACTACTCCTCTGTCCATAGGTTTGCCAGCCACTCAAGATTCTTTTAATACTGTCCGGAGAGTAGACGAAGAGGGTTCCAGAATTATTAAACCACTTGCATCAACCTCATGTTCGTGGAACTAATCGGCATCCTCACATGATGTTTCATTGTAGTGCACCAAAACAGAGAAGCTCATTTGTTTTGGCAGCAATTCGCTGTGGGATGTAAAATAGATCCTACTGGTTGCACATACATATTCTATTTACACATACTATCTTCAGGTTTTCTATATTCTGCCGAGTTAAGAAGCTTGAAACCTTTGAACTTTGGATATACCGGAGAATGTTGAGAATTCCATGGACTGCCAGTCTCACCAATGAGGAAGTGCTGAGAAGGATGGGCCGAGGCAAAAAATTGTTAAGAACAATGAAAGTATGCAAATAAATTCTTCTACATGTCATCATGCAGGGTAGAGTCGATGGCAAAAAGGGAATAAGTAGAATGTCATGGCTACGAAATATTCGAGACTGGACAAACATGACTGTAGACGAATTATTCCATGTTGCAAAAGACCGAGAAACTTTTAGAAATGTGGTCGCTAACCTCCATTATTGAGGACGTTAGGAGAAGATATTCTGCCGAAACATTGTAACAACAACTTAACAGCACTGACTAAAGCAAATGGGTAGAGTACTTTCCATCCCTATTTGCTAAAGGTGACGATAATGAACCACCAAAACCAAAGGTGACGAGAAACGAAGAAATCGTTTGACCGTCCTTAACAGGAGCCCTATTCACTAACTTAAGTGAGTGGTCGTGTAGGAGTTCTCTCTCACAATTTTGCTTTAATGCGCAAGTCACTCTCCTGAAATTGTAAAATCCGTATTCACGAAAATGTAAGAGAAACCTCATACACTCCTATGCGAGTGCTCTCCTACTCTACTGGGTAAAACTAAGAGAATTGCAAAATTTTAAGAGAGTGGACATGCGCCGTAGAAATTATAAGTGACAGAAGAAGAATATTGTATACAATAGGTACAGTTTATATGAAAGGTTATTGAAATTTTAAAAAGGTTGTTGACTCCTATTTGTATTTGGTTTTTATATATTGTTTTCATAATGGATGATGACGATATAATAATGTTAATGTTAATCGCCGATGTTGAAGAGGCGGAAGAACAAGCTGAAAATAATATACCACGTCTCTATTTCCAACGGGAAGACCCTTTTTTAATGTTATCTGAGGTGAATTTTATTAAACATTTCCGTCTCAATAAAGACAGCTTTATATATCTTTGCGATGAACTAACGCCATTTTTACAAGTTCGCCAAAGAACAAATATAACTAATATATAACCAAAGAATATAGACGCTTAATATATCTCAAAGTTCTTAAAAGTTAAAAGTATAATAATATAATAGTTTATAAATAACGAGAACGAGAATTGACAAAACAAGTGATACAATCAGATACAACTAACCTAACAGCAAAAACTTTGCTTCTTCATTTCGTTTTATCGTGAAAATGGTTGTGGCTAGGCCTACAGTAGGTACATTTGAACTAAATAATAGGTCAAAGTTACTCGTTTGCTTTGGCAACGCTGGGTAAAATGTAGTAGACTCGCTAAATGATAGTGAATAGGGTTTTTTAGCACCATGTGAGCGATGACCGAGAGAGTACTCACATCGATGAGTTGTCGTGCACGAGCACTCTCACGAGTTGCAGAATGCGGATCCAGGACGAATTATTATTCAATGAACTGAAAGATTGACAGAAGGAAATTAAGAGCGACGTCAGTTACGAGACACCAGTAACCCATGTGAAATAGACGACCAGCTTTTCACAAGATATTTAAGAGTGTCAAACAATATTGCTAGGTAAGTTATAGAACTGGCTAACTATAATAAAGTGAAAGCAAAGGGCTACAAAAATCGAAATTGTTGGCTTTGTTTTGCGAATCCTATTTCGTTGTTTTTTAAGAAGTCTCAACATCAAATATAATAATTGTTTCCTTGTCGTTTATTGAATTACACATAAAGGTAGGCAACCCATTATACTCCGATGAAACAATACCAATTTGAATGAGGAAGGAAAAGTAAAACAGAAAGACGTTGAATACTGCTTATTCTCTGTCTATACAAATTTTAAAGATATTGTTTGTAAATAAGTGAGCTACTAATGTTCAAAAGTTTGGTCCCTGTCAACATTTATTGAAGAGTATGTACTTTTTAAGAGCGTAGGTGCAAAATTTCGGGCCAATCCTTTTTAAATGCATTTAATTTTTTTCGAATCCTGAAAAACATTTTTAAAAAATTTAAACGCAGAATGAAATAATACATTATTACCGAGTGCCGAAAGTCCCTGAAAACTTCTATAATGTTTATTTTAATATATAAGTTTTTATTAAGGAAAAAAAAAAGAAAATTTAGTGTGATTTTTAATTTCAAATATCTCATTCAAGAAACTTTTTGGTTATTCTAAGGGACTTTCGGCCCTCGGTAATAATGTAATCTTTTATTCTGCGTTTAAATTTTTAAAAAATATTTGTTAGTTTTCTCAGGATTCTCAGTTTTTTTTCTGCAGTCTGCGTAAAATACTTAATGTAAATAAAAAAAAAAAGTTGAGAAGTGTCGTGGTTGCAACACATGATTTTGGTGTACCCCTGAATAATATTGCTATCATAATTCACGAATTAAATAACAGAGATAGCACTTGTAGATAAAAAGGACAAACAACTATAGCCTTAAGAGCAATTGTTGGTCGGAAGTATAGAGAAAATGAAATGTAAGCTTTGAATATTGCTGCAAAACTATTTGATAGGGTCCAAAAAGTTAGCCAACATATATATCTATTACTAATTTGTGCCTATGTTGCAATGGAAACATTTTAGTTGCTTAAGAAAACTAAAATTCATTGTTGCCAATATATTATAAAAATATATAGGAATGTAAATTCATTGAATACTAAACTTCATTTATTAGGAATGTGCGATTGCCAGATTTTTATTGATAATCGAAAAAAGTTTAACTAGATGAAACGTATAATCCGATTTATTACCGTCATTTGTATAACAAGCTTACCACGTCCATTGGGTATTTTAAAACTTTTTACTAAAGGTCGATTCAGACACATCAGTCACGTCTCGTCACAGTCCTGGCGCCGAACCGAACAATCCGTCATACAAAATATTCTTTAATAGAAATATGGCGCCGGCATTCCCATTCATCAGGCGACGAACAGTTTGCCAGCTGTCAGATAGCTGATAGTTCTGTGACCAAACAGGACCGGTTCGGCGTCGGGACTGTGGCGGGACTGGTGTGTCTGAATCGACCTTTAAAGTGGCGATGTGACTTAATTTATGACATAATTAGTTTACACTTAAGGTCAATTCAGACACATCAGTCCCGTCACAGTCTCGGCGCCGAACCGTGCCTGTTTGGTCACAGAACTATTAATTATTTGACAGCTGGGAAACTGTTCGTCGCCTGATGAATGTGAATGCCGGCGCCATATTTCTATTAAAGAATATTTTGTATGACGGATTGTTCGGTTCGGCGCCAGTACTGTGACGAGACGTGACTGATATGTCTGAATCGACCTTACACAGACGAGTCGGTCATAACCGTCGAATAGAGTAGGTAAAATACATCTTTTTGGGACAAAACATCAGATAAAAATTGGCAACCTCCTACAGACTCTGTTAGAATTAAATGCAAATGTCATACCTAATAATTAATAAAGCAAAATTGATTATTTTGGTGAATATCAACCACTATTGTATTATAATCCAATAGTTTAATAAAAAATATGAAATATTCCTCAAAATTCTGATATAAATAAAAGGCTAGTAGAAATATATAGTTTTGTTTTATAATTAAATAAAATATTTACATATTGTATAACTTAATCTACTTTTCCAGTAAATTAACTATTTCGTGTCGTGACGATC